TGGGGGGGGAGAAGAGTGTGTTTGGGGGGGGGGGGGGGGCTAGTTTTGATGACCTGGCACCAGACACACACACAAAAAAAAAAGATACGAAATATTTTCAATAATTTGCCTCGTGCTCACACTCATGATAAAAGTGGAGAACGTCTGCTTCTCCGACATCTTATATGACCCCCAAGATCTCAGATTATCAACGAGGATATGAAACCGCGGTCAATTCGACCTCTCTCTGAGCAATGCATATCTCCGTTGGAAACGTTTGACACGTCTTTGAAATGTCTTCGAACGATGACATCAAGCCGCCTGTGCTTTGCGTTGAATGCAACCGATCGCGAGATGAGAAAGAAACGCAAAACCTGAAGAACATTTCCAAATAGGGAGTTTTTTGGGGTAACGTCCTCTCTGACTTCTTGTTTGTGTGTTTGTTTGTTTGTTTGTTTGTTTGTTTGTTTTTTTTTGCCAGCGCGCTCTGCTGCACACACTTGCTTAAAGTTTCCACTGTCCAAGAGGGACCGAGAGTCACGGCTCGTCAACATTGGTAAAAATATCCCAATCACTGTTCTTCCGCTGGTTCGATTTTGCCATGAGTGAAAAATTTAAAAAAGCGACTTTTGTCGACTGGCGTGGAAGAGCTTTGTTTACACGCACTTGAGCGGATGGCAACGCGAGCAATCCGGATCCGTCTGATACCAACGGGGCGTCGCGTTCGAAACAACAAATGACGCTCCTGTGCCGCCGTCGGCTTGGCACAGTTTTGTGCAAGAAATCGAATCCTTTTCCAGAGTCAGGCAGCATTCATCGAAAATGTCCCTCTCAACACATAGAAAGGCCAAATGCAGCCTCAGCTAGCGCAAACTTAACGGGCGGCTCATTTGAATGACAATGGTTCCACTGGCATTGCGTTTCATCAGCGTTTATATAAAAGTGGAGCCGCTGTAAGGCGGAGCCAATGAAGGCTTTTTGATTCGACGGGGCTGAGAGGAAGCGTGCCGTGATCATGGAGCGCACCGGCAAGGTGGGTACAGAGCGGAGTGTGATTTTGCCGTCGATGCCGAGACTGAGATTTAGACTGCGAGGCCCATTTTAGCCCGCACAAAATATAGGGGCAGTGAATGCAATATTTGATCTTTTCTATACGGTTTAAGGGTCAATCCAGGATTGGAAGACAATTTAAGCAGCAACATTTTTGAAAAATGGGATTATTTAAATTATTTACGAATTTCTCAATAGCGATTCCAATCCGAGATGGCTTGACGTCGCCCTAAATGTAGTTTTGATGTTGGGTTAAAAAAAAAAAAAATTATACACATTTTCGTTGCTAATCGGGTTTTTGAGATATTTTTTGTTTCGATTTTGAAGTTGGCGGCAGGGCGGTCAACTGGTTAGCACGTTGGCCTCACAGTGCAGAGGTTGTGGGTTCGATTCCGGCTCCGGCCTTCCTTGTGTGGAGCTTGCATGTTCTCCCCGTGCCTGCGCGAGTTTTCTCTTGCGGTTTCCTCCCACATTCCAAAAACATACATGGCAGGTTAATGGGACACTCTCGAGTGTGTGATTGTGAGTTCGGTTGTTCGTTTGTGTCTGCCCTGCGATTGGCTGGCGACCAGTTCAGGGTGTCCCCTGCCTACTACCCAAAGACGGCCGATATAGGCTCCAGCACGCCCGCGATGTTTTATTAATTCAATCTGTGAGCGCGAGGCTATTTTCTGCTTGCAGATATTCTTCTACGAGGACAAGAACTACCAGGGCCGCTACTTTGAATCCAGCAGCGACTGTCCCGATCTCAGCTCCCACGTGAGCCGCTGCAATTCCATTCGGGTGGAAGGCGGCACCTGGGTGCTCTACGAGAGACCCCAGTACCTGGGCTACCAGTATGTGCTGGTGCAGGGCGAGTACCCAAACTCCCAAAGCTGGAACGGCTTCAACGACACCATCCGCTCTTGCCGCCTGATCAGACACGTAAGTCCTGCAAAACCGGGGTCTCGAGGTTGCCAGTCGGAAGACTCATGGTCATCCGCAAAGGATGACTGGAGAATTTACAAAAAAAGTTCTTATCATTTGGAGTTGAAAATGTGTCGATGCTTGGATTACCCTTTCAACTTAAAATTTAGTAAACAATTCATTGTGTTCCCCAGCCTCCAAGTAGACACAGGATTCGCATCTACGAACGAGCAGATTTCGAGGGCCAAATGATGGAGTTCAGCGAGGACCAGCCCAACCTTCAGGACCGCTGGCGCTATCGGGACGTACACTCGGCTCACGTCCAAGATGGCATCTGGGTCTTCTACGAGCAGCCCAACTACAGGGGGCGCCAGTACCTGCTGGAGAAGGCCGAATACAGGCGCCACGCCGAGTGGGGGGCCCTCCACCCTACTGTGGGCTCCATGAGACGCGTCGTGGACTATTAAACCAGCACGCCCACGCAAACGCGGTCCCGTTCTTCTCCATGTATTCCTTCCCTTAAAAATCCCCCGCAATAAATGCACACGCTCATCCTGGGTGTTTTTATTTCTTGTTTCTTCTTCTTTATATGCAACAAATGCATAATTATCGAAGTACCGTTTTATATTTTCCTTTATTTATGCGCAGTGTTAATGCTCAAAATGTGGACAGTGACATATGTCCAATAAAGATACAATTTTAGGAATAAAACGTTCTCCTTTTATGACGAAATTGTCGGTTCGCACTCCACACCTTTAGGTGGCAGTAATGCCCGTAAACGTTATGTGCAAAGCGCCTATAAATATCAAGCGAAGAAGAAAATACGCGCTTCGCTGCAAAATGTCAGCGGAGGTTCTTGGTTAGTCAAGTTTGGAGTGGTGGCGGTTTGTCTTGTTTTCCTCGCATTTATGGCGATTCCCCGGAAAAGAATTCGAGCCAGTCTTGCCGACCGGAGCTCACCGGCTAGCGTCCCCACGGGCAACCAGCCGAGTGAAGCCAACGAGACTGGCTGTGCTTTTGTGGAGGGTGCCGTACTTCGCATCACCATGAAAAACTTCCTGTAAGTTACTCGTCATAAATTGTACGCTCCGAATCAAGTCAACATGGCTTGGATGTCGTAACTGTAAGGGAGCAACAAATACCTCGACGCGTGTAGTTGTTACCCAGTTAGCATTCTGTCAACTGGCTCAGTAATTCCCACTTTCCAGTCAGTATCCCGTCAGATTTTCTTTCTTTCTTTTTGATATTGTTCTTTATTTAGGACAATCTATTTACAATGGAATTGAGCACAGTACAAAACATCCGTCATAAAAACCGTGAATCTCGACATTATGTAACGTACCTGAATCTGGTACTTGAGTAAAAATACACGTATCTTGACAGATAGCGACTTTGGTAGAAAACTCACTCTGTAGAATTTTACTTTCGTAAAAGTCTGAACGTATGTGACATTTGTTGTACTTGACTATCAAATGTAGTTTTCGGATATTATACGTGCAGTGTTGCCTTGACATCAGAAATCGTCATAGCTTTGATTGGTTGGAAAAAAATCTTGCATTGAACCAATGATAAATACTTAATGCATCGAGTATATGTGACATGGGTTCGCATTCATAATGCGTACCAAAATTACGATGTAGCCCGCAACAGAAATGGGAGTTTGACACTCCTGTCCAGGGGGCGACTCCACGAGGGGGCGCCAGTACCCAGATGTCATTGACTGACGTTTCACGCAATAGAATATCAATTTCAAACAACAATCGAAAACCGTGTAACGCACCATCTTCCCCATGGTGCTGATGTCTCAGCCATGGCACTGCCATCAATTTGATCATGCATACTCACAAAAAACTGCTCAAATTTGATGTATAAAGTGCGATGAGTGAGAATGTAAATGTAAAGCAATAACACTCAAATGTATAATAATTATTATTGTTGTTATTATTCTAATAACGTAATGACGACGTGTGCACATTTTGAGCATGACGTCTTTGATCCACTGGTGAAAGGACACTTTGATTCTTTCATGTTTCATCTAGTACTGCTTCAAATCACAAAGCAAAGTGGTTACGATTACACGACTGTCCATGTTTTTATCTTGCATGTTGTGTTTATTATTTACTTTATCTTAACTGTTTTGTAATGCGCTGTGTTACAGCTGCAGCTGTTGTGAAAGTGCTGTATAAATCAGGATGGATTGTATTGAATTGTATTGTATAACTCTTTTGCAGTTTATTGTGCTTATTTAAATGTCATTTTACGCTCCGCTGCATATTTTTCTCTTTTTACAGGACATACGACCACACCGTGGTTCGTCCCGGACCGAACCTGAACATGGTTATCGGAGCGAATGGAACCGGCAAGTCCAGCATTGTGTGCGCCATCTGTCTCAGCCTGGCAGGCAAAACAGCTGTCCTGGAAAGAGACGACAAGGTCAAAAGTCACAGGCGGATAATTGAACCAATCTAAATGAACAAATCATGACATTACACATAAAAAACACTGCACGTTCTTTGTTGATCTTTTTTTTCTCATAATGTTGTGGACATCATCATAAAATCAATTTTGTCTCCTAGATCGGGGGCTACGTGAAAAAAGGATGTGACAGAGGATTTGTTGAAATTGAACTGTAAGTTGTCTGTGACGTGGCTTCAGAGATAGATACGTGATAATGAAGGGACTCGCTGATTAACTGATGTTTCTGTTGCTCATATTACTGGCAAAGACCTGATTTGAAGGGGAAATGGATACACTGTATTATAGAGCTGAGTTACATTTTATACAAACCCTGTGAGAGAAAATTCCTTCTAAATACCTGTTGATGGAAGTTAGTTTCCCTGTTTGACCCCTTTTAAAGTGACTGCTACTCCCTTACTGGACATAAAACAAAACAAAAAAACATTCCGCCGTGATTAGAAAGGCGTCCGTGATTGAGCCAGCACACATTGCTCCTCTCTTGTGAATCGAGCGTCCAATAGTCCCACCGGCCTGTGCAGCCTGAAAGTCGGGTGAACGCTCTCTTCGGGTTCAACCTTTCTTCCAGGGTCATGCAGCTTGTGGCAGGTGAAGTGCATGAAATTTCCAAATGGCCCGTTTTTTCCATTTTCTATTTTTGCATGAAATTGGAAAACAGCGGAGATTTTTTTTTTTTTAACTTCCCATTTAGTTTTGAAAATTGTTCAAATGATACATGGATTTAACACCTCTGATTGTCACTTATTGTGTCTACACATTATGCATGTAATATTATTTAGTTAGTTATCTGAAGTTTTATGTAGCAAATAGATGCTGTTTGATTTGGCAAAGAACGGTAAAACCCGACCTGAAACGATTAATATTATTAATCTGCATTCTGATTAGAATTGTTATGTTTAAGGCCATCGGTGTTGAAATTATTTCCAGTACCAACCCTTAAAATTCCACAGTTGTTTTGGTTGCTGTTTGGATTTTATCAGCTTCATTTAAAAATTGCTATCACGATAAAATCTCCTGACAAGAGACTTCCTAATGCCAAACTCAAATTCTTTTCAGTTTTAAGAGCGGTGGCAATATCATAATTAATCGGGAGATTCACGTGGAGAACAACCAGTCAGTCTGGAGGCTGAATGGAAGAACTTGTAACCAGAAAACAGTTGAGGAGGAAGTCAAGGCTTTGCAAATTCAAGTCAACAACCTTTGCCAGTTCCTGCCTCAGGTACGTTCCGGTCTGGACTCTCTGGGCTCAAATAGTCATCAGGCCGCAGACATTTGTGTCAGGCTTTTCGGACTAACGCCTATGGTTTCTCCGATCCAGGAAAAAGTGGGGCAGTTTTTCCATTTTCTATTTTTGCATGAAATTGGAAAACAGCGGAGATTTTTTTTTTAAACTTCCCATTTAGTTTTGAAAATTGTACAAATGATACATGGATTTAACACCTCTGATTGTCACTCATTGTGTCTACACATTATGCATGTAATATTATTTAGTTAGTTATCTGAAGTTTTATGTAGCAAATAGATGCTGTTTGATTTGGCAAAGAACGGTAAAACCCGACCTGAAACGATTAATATTATTAATCTGCATTCTGATTAGAATTGTTATGTTTAAGGCCATCGGTGTTGAAATTATTTCCAGTACCAACCCTTAAAATTCCACAGTTGTTTTGGTTGCTGTTTGGATTTTATCAGCTTCATTTAAAAATTGCTATCACGATAAAATCTCCTGACAAGAGACTTCCTAATGCCAAACTCAAATTCTTTTCAGTTTTAAGAGCGGTGGCAATATCATAATTAATCGGGAGATTCACGTGGAGAACAACCAGTCAGTCTGGAGGCTGAATGGAAGAACTTGTAACCAGAAAACAGTTGAGGAGGAAGTCAAGGCTTTGCAAATTCAAGTCAACAACCTTTGCCAGTTCCTGCCTCAGGTACGTTCCGGTCTGGACTCTCTGGGCTCAAATAGTCATCAGGCCGCAGACATTTGTGTCAGGCTTTTCGGACTAACGCCTATGGTTTCTCCGATCCAGGAAAAAGTGGGGCAGTTTGCCAAAATGTCCAAAATCGAATTGCTGGAGGCGACTGAGAAATCTGTCGGTCCCCCGCAGCTGTACGAGTATCACTGCGAGCTCAAAAGCTTTCGCACCAAAGAGAGAGAAATGGAGGTAAATCCGTACAACGGAGCCTTGGTTTTGCTCAGCCTGACAGTCCCATGAAACCATGAGAATAGATGAGAACAAATAATCCCGAATGGACTCGTTTTTGTTATTCTGTCACAGGAAGGATCATGTTTCTCCATTGTTGCTTTTTTTCCAGAATGCCATAAAGGAGAGAACCAGCTACCTCGAGAAATCCAAGCAGAGATACGAGAGAAACAAACTTGATGAGAATCGCTATTATGAGAAGCAGAGGCATCTGGATGTGATTGAGTTGCTCGAGAAGAAGACACCCTGGGTGGTGAGGAGGCTTGCAAAAATGTGGACAATTTCCTCAACTCAAGTGTATTTCTAGAGCACAATGAAATACAACCACCGCTGTATACAAACTGCTGAATGTGCAGCAAAAATAATTCATACAACAAGCAATAAAACAGTCAATCAGTAACAGAGAGTACAAAGCACAAAAACGCTCAAACTAAAAATCAAGTTTCATGCGGAGTCAAAAGTCAAAGAATAAAAATGAAGATTTTTAAAGATGTTCAGCAAGGGGGGCTTGACGAACGTTCATTCCAAAGAGAGGGAGCGGCAACAGAAAAGGCTCCATCCCCTTTGAGCTTAGTTCTCGCTAGTAGTGTCTGGTCAGCAGACCTGAGGCATCGGCCGGGTACGGAGGAGATTCGAGAGGTCAGGTGGGGCCAGGCCATTTCCAGATTGGGAAACAAACAGGATTTTAAAACGAACTCAATAGGGAGCCAGTGAAGGGATGCCGCAGGAGGAGTGATGTGCTCCCTCCTACGAGTACCAGTCAAGAGGCGACTGTTTCAAAGTCCTCTTGAGAAAGGAGAGGCTTGACTTTAGGTCGCTGCCTAAGATGAAAGAATCTGGATTTGACAACAGCGCCCGTTTGCCGGTCCAATTTAAAATCAATCTCCGGTTTAAGACTCAAGTTTGAGACTGTCAGCTTAAAATAAGGGGGCAGGGGAGCCGTGGGACCAAACACCATCACTTCCTTTTTTTTTTTCATTGAAATTCAAGAAATTCCGTCCAGGTCTGGAGTTCCTCGCGACAGGATAAAAGTGGCCTCAATAAAGAAAGCGTCTTTTTTGCTCAGCGAGACATCGAACTGAGAGTCATCCGCATAGCAGCGGAAGGAAACACCATGTTTCCTCAAGATGAAACCATAAGGGAACAGATAAAATGAGAACAGCAGCGGTCCCAGAATTGAACTCTGTGGAACACCACATCACAGTGGGGCAGTTTGTGAATGTTGGGTTACATCTTCCCATAAGTTTTAAAGCTGGAAAACCATTGATTCCAGTGGACGGTTCACGGCTTTGAACATTCACAGAATTTTTTTCAACAGTGTTGGCGATGGTGAGCGGAGAACACAAGCCCTGGCGCGTGAGGATGTTCATTCAAAACTTCGAGCCACTTGTTCCCTCTGCTTGTAGGAGTACGAAACCACCCGCAAGGAGCTCGAGGGTGTGAAAAAGGACCGAGATGAAGCAAAAAGGCAGCTCTCCGCTCTCAAGCAGTCCCAAGCGCCCATGATGAGCAAGCTCCACGCCATTGAAGAGCAGCTGAAGCCCAGTGAGGCACAACTGAAGGCAAAGGTGACCCATTTTGGATTCCACACCAAGCAGAATTATCCACATCAAGCTGGATCTACAGCCATGCATTTTTTGGGAAGTTATACTTTTGTTAGCATGTAATCCAACACATAATTAACTGATGTTCAATTTTTGATTGTGTAAAATGTTGGCATCCATACGTTCTTACCACAGTCGGCCTTTCAGGGGAAAAAAGTGCCAGGTGAAGTCAAAAGTAAAAAATTGGAATATGCGTGCGGTTATCCTCCTCTGATGCTGGCTGAGCTGCGCAGCCCGCCGTCAGATCCGATGTCACTTTATGATGACTCAGACTTGACCTTTTGCAACTTTTAAGTGTGTTCGAACTTCCTGTTGCCACTATACTGAAGATAATACCGTGAAAGAGCGAACTACATATGGTGGCATCCCCGGTTGGAATGTGCAGGCTAATCACTGTTTTTTTGGTTAATGAGAAGAACTTCATTTTCAGAGTGCTGCCATCAAAGAAGCTTCCTTGAAATGCAAACAAAAGCAAGATCAGCTGGACAGAATTCACAAAGAGGTGAGTGACAAATTGCAGACCTCTGTCAAGGTGGTGCCTTGCATATCGAAACAAAGCATTGCTCCACTCACCTCAAGTGTATTTCTGGTGCACTTGAAAACAACCACCGCTGTCTACAAAGTGCTGTACATGGAGCAAAAAGAATTCATACAACAACAAACAATAAAACAATCCATTCACAACACAGACAGCAGAAAGCACAAAAACGATCAAACTAAAAATCAAGTCTCATGCGGCGTCAAAAGCCCAAGACTGAAAATGAGTTTGAAGACAGGCAGCCGAGGGGCTTGCCGAACGTTCATCCCAAAGAGCGGGACCGGCAACGGAAAAAGCGCGATCCCTTCTGAGCCTCCGATTAGGTCTCGGTACCTCTAATGACGTCTGGTCCGCAGACCTGAGGCACCGGGCAGGTGTGGAGGAGCTCAGAGAGGCAAGGTGGGGCCAGGCCGTTTCAACATTTCAAAACAAATAACAGGATCTTCAAAAGAACTCGGAATTGTTGAGGGAGCCAGTGAAGGGATGCCAGAAGAGGAGTTATGTGCTCCCTCTTCCGAGTACCAGTCAGGAGATGAGCAGCAGCATTCTGGACCAACTGGAGACGCTTCATGGAGGATTGGGTGACTCCAAAGTAAAGTCACAGCTGTCTTGGGGCAGTGGGCGGGGGACACACAGAGACCAACAACCATCCGCGCTCACACTCACACCCAAAGACAATTTCAAGTGTTCAATTAGCCTGCCATGTATGTTTTTGGAATCACAGCTGTCTTGGGGCAATGGGCGGGGGACACCCTGAACCGGTTGGCAGCTCATCGCAGGACACACAGAGACCAACAACCATCCGCGCTCACACACAGAAAACCCACGCAGGCCCGAGAACAAACAAACAAACTACCGGCAACATTGTGAACAGTTGAGAATACGTCTTCAAAAGTTTAAAGAGGGACAAATGAAGCTCCCGCTGCAAATGCTGAACTGTTGTTCATCCTGAAAATTTCACCCGAAAGTCTCCCAAACCTTTTAGAAGTCGTTTAAAATCACGTCATGCGTTTTAAATGGTTCAAAATGACCGCTCCTGTCCGCAGATCGAAGACATAAAACAGTCGTTTAAAATGAAGCAGACAGAAGAAGAAGATCGGAGGAAGCGCGTCCAAAACGTCCAATTGCTGATCGAGGACTTGAAAGTCGCGCTGGCCGAAGTCGACAACCAACCCGACATGTCGCCCAGGATCAGTGAAGTCAATGGCGAGTTGAGGCGCATCCAGCTGGAGAGGGGCAAAGTGGAAGAGGAGAAAAGCAGCCTGCGCCCAGAGAAGGACAACCTGTCTGCGGAGTTGAGAAGCAAGTATCCGGGATGTCGAGATGATGTTGAGAGCGGCAAATGATTTGATTTTGTGCCGATTGACAGTGTTGGAGAAGAAGCTCAGCGACATGAACAACATGATGATGGTAAAAGAGGAGAAGCTGCGCGGGCGCCACAGGGACACGCACACAGCCGTGCAGTGGCTCAGGCAGAACCGACACCTCTTCACCGGAAATGTCTGCGAGCCCCTGATGCTTGTGGTGAGTCGGACCGGTCAAATAGTCGCTGCAGGGCCCGACGAGTTGTCAGCACGGAAGGTGCGTTTGTGAACGAGCTTCTCCCTTTTCGCAGCCACGTTGTTGATGCAAGCAGCGCACCTGAGCGCGGGAACCGGCTTTGCTTTGACCATATCTACCAATTGTCCACCCCGAGTGCTGATGCTTTTCAATTTTCCTTCCTCAGATCAACATGAAAGATCATCGCTTTGCCAAGTACATGGAGAACCACATCTCCTTCAATGACTTAAGGGCCTTTGTCTTCCAGAAGAAAGATGACATGGCAAACTTCTTGACAGAGGTGAGGACGCTTCTGATTATTGTAGCTCGGCGAATTTCCAGGCAAATAGAATCCGAATCAAATTGGACCCCCCCCCCCGTCCGAATCAAATTGGACCCCCCACAGATAACGGAGCTCGTGTGAATGTTTCTGTCCTCAGGTGCGTGACAACATGAACCTGAGAGTCAACGCCATTATTGCTCCAACAGAGACGTGCTCAAGAGCGACTCCGTCGAGGCACATTGAGTCCCTGAGGTGAGCGTTTAAAAAAAAAAAAAAAAAAAAAAACTAAATCATCACGCACCAGTAATAGCTTGAACTTTTAACGCAATTGGAGAGACCAAGCAACGCTTGATTCACCTTATTCCTACACCTTCCGACAAGGTACAGTCACATTCACTACTTTCCAAACTCTTGTCGCTTCAGGAGTGAGGCAATGAGCATTCTCAAAAGCTCTTGAGACGTGTCGGTACATACACAGTAAGAAAGTGTTGTTGCACCTGGCAGAGACGTGAATAGGGAAGACTCCTCACTTAAAAATGGAGACATCTGTGTTCGGTATTTCTTTAGCGGGTGATTTTTTGCATTTTGGTGATTTTTTTTTTTTTTTCCCCCATATTTGTCATTGCAGGCGTTTTGGGTTCTTCACCTATCTGCGCGAAACCTTCGATGCCCCCGATGAAGTGATGAGTTACCTGTGTCATCAGTATAAAGTGCACGAGATCCCCATCGGCAATGAGCAGACAGAAGCCATGATAAAGACGGTATTGACCTCACACAACTTTAAAACTCAATTTCCCGTGACATAAGGTCCATGAATGAGGAGTGAATTCGGCACATGTTTGGCAGGTGATCGAGGAGCCCTACATCAAGGTGCTGTACACAAGTGACCAGAAGTATACGGTCAAGAAGTCCGTCTACTCCAACGTCACCTCGACCAAAAACACGACGGTGTATCCGCCCAAGTACCTCAGCATCACGGTGGACGCCGATCAGAAACGGCAGCTGGAGCAGCAGATGAAGGTGAGCGCCGCTTGCTGTGTGGAACTCATTCAATGCCGAATTGGGAGAGTCGCTGCCAGCCGTTTTTGATCATTTGACTAATTTTTGAAGGCCTCCAGAAAATGGAGTTTTGTAGCCATGGAAACCCACCAAAAGAAAGCTTTGACCCGCTACTTTTATCGGGGAAAAAAGTACATTTCCATCTTTTACCATTCTCCAGTAAACAAAAGTTGAACATGGCTGTTTCTTGAAAAAACTCGTTTTCAAGAACAATTTTGAGGGAAAAAAAGCTTTTTGCGAAAGGATGCATTTCAAGTGGAACTTTCCCTTTGATGTGATTACTATTTTTTTTGTATTTCTGATACTCCAAATATCTAAACAATGCTTTCCTACTGAATAACATAACACAAAAAGGGCACTTTGATTGAAAATAAAATTGAAAATAACAATTTTTGCAAGAAAACCACTGCACTGATGCATGAACTTTGAACTTTACCCATGTTGCGACACATGTCTGATGCCCAACACCCTGCAGCAGAGGCATGTCAATTTTTAGAGGTGATGAAGTAGAATCCAAGCAGCGCCAACATTTTCAAGCTTTTTAAAACTATTAGAATTATTATCATTATTATTTTACTCTGTTCTTTTTTTTTAACAAGCTAGAACATGAAAAAAACAAAGTACTTGTTTAAAATGTTAAAATGTAAAATAGAGTATACCCCATTGACTAAAAAAAATTGGTTTGATCCTCCTGGTCTGAAGTGCGTGTGCTCTCTCTCTCTCTCTCTCTCTCTCTCTCTCTCTCTCTCTCTCTCTCTCTCTCTCCCCTGCTCACCCTTAAAGGGACCACACACAGCAAATCAAAACTCGAATACACTGAAATCAATTTGCTACCTTTCACACAGATTTGCCAGTCAAGGTTACGAGACATTGATGGGCAGATGAACACCTTACAAACAGAAGCGACCGCACTGGATCGCCGTGATAATGAACTGTTGACAGAGAAGAAGACCCTCTTGGAAATAAAGGGCAAAAAGAGACAGCTGGAGCAGAAAATCAGCACCAAAGAGGACAGGTAAGATCACACCACCCAGTGCCTTTTTTTTTTTTTTTTTTTAAGCACAAGCGACCTCAAGTTTGAACCACAAGCCACCACTTTCCCCGCCGGCCTTCAAGCCACAGCGCCTTAAGCAGCTCTTCCATTCGTGTGAATCGAATAGAACGTGCAACGGTACAAACGGGGCAAATGCTGTGGCACAACTGCCGGCGTTTGACTTCATCTTTAGTTTAGTTTCCCGACAGTCTACTTCTTCTTCTTGACACCATCAATCACCTAATTTAGCGGGTGCGGCTTATCAACCGGTTCGCTCTAAAGATCCGTTGTCATGGTATTCATTTGGAACTACTTCCGTGTGTTCTAGGCTGAGGCAGCTGGAGCAAAGTGCACTTGACCTGAAGAAGATTGAGGCAGAGACAAAAAAGAAAATAATTGCTGTCAATTCCCAGAAGACATCCGTGGTCACTGCATTATTGACACAAATGAAGGTAAGGCTGAAAAGAACTCCGATGGCCCCGCAACAACTTCCTCTTCTTCTTCTAAGGTTGGTACGTTGTGTGCTTGCCATTTCCTGTCAACTCGTTGAATTGTGGAAAGAATGCACACGCATACATTTATGAATAGCAACGGTTATCTTTTATAAAAAGTGAAAAGACTTAGGCAGCATTCCGCTTAAACTGTTGAGACGCTCGGGTATCTTGGCAGGTTGTATAAATTGGTCGCGCCGACAGTGCGAGGTGTGCCACAAAAGACATTTCCGTTTTGCTCATTCGGTGTGGCCAAAACGGTCGATCAAGAGATCCTGCAGTGTTTGCTTCATTCCGTGTGCGAGAAGAGGCCAGAGTCGCGGCGAGACAACTCGATTGCTCAAAATGGCCGAGAAGAACATCGGCATCCTCGCGTAACTTTCCTACGCAACTGACCTGGCTCTGTGTGATTCGACCCCCTCCCTCTCGCCTTAAAAAAAAAAAAAAAAAAATCCCGAAATTCTTTTAACAACTCTCTCCATTCTTCCCTTACTTGATGAACAAGCCTTAAGGCACAATTTCATTCTCAACCTGAAGAGGGCACTCTGGTCTCAAACTGCTCCAACAAAACATGTGAAGTTCATGCCATGGCGAAGCCAACAGAACCACATCGTCTGCAAAAAGTTTAATTGGGTCAATCGGACTGTGATTGGTTGACGATTTTTATTATTATTTTTTTTTCCCAGGCTACTTGAGGTCAGCATTTTCGTATCCAAATCCCCCCCATTTATGTATTGCCAGGGTTGATCCCCGGTGCTGTTACACGAATGTTGTGATTGTTGCCGCTGTGGCTGGTGAATGAGCGTTCTGGATTCACTTGCCAATTGGGTCAATCGGACTGTGATTGGTTGTCGATTTTTATTTTTTGTTTTTTTCCAGGCTACTTGAGGTCAGCATTTTCGTATCCAATTCCCCCATTTATGTATCGCCAGGGTTGATCCCCGGGGTTGTTACACGAGTGTTGTGATTGTTGCCGCTGTGGCTGGTGAATGAGCGTTCTGGATTCACTTGCCTGGAGGTAAAACGGCTTCTTAGTGTGGCCACTCTTTCCGTGGAGCGAGACGCACACTTGCCGGGATTCAACTTTTGCGGATTGCCATGACCTGGCGGGTTGAGACTCCACAGACGTGTGTGGATGATTTTTTTTTTGCACCTTTTTTAAGACTGTGTTGACATGTCTGGGTGTTCCCTGTTGTTGTGAGACTGTCATTTTGACCTCAGGGGTCTCTCGTGTGTCCATCCACCTCTAGCTGCGAGCCAAGCTGACCATGGAGAAGGTGTACCTGGCGTTAGAGATGGTGGGGCTGTTGGCCGAGAGGACCAAGCTGGAGAACATTTGTCGAGAAGGTGCCAATGGACTCAAAAGCGTGAATGTAAATATTTGACCCCCCCAGTAGCTGCCCACCATCTTCAGCTCTGCGTTGCTGATGCGCGTATATGCTTGTGTAGCAAAAGTGCAGCCAGCTGGAGGAGAGTGCAGTCCAGCTGAAACAACGGTGCAAAGCGCTCATGAAGAAAGCCAAGGCAGTCTGCAGGATGCAGCCCGACGAGGCGTTACCCGAACACCTCCATTGTGTCAGTCTCTCTCTGTCCACATCATACGCGACGTATTGTGTGATCCGATGCGCATGCGCGTGCAGTTGCCACACGGTCCTTGTTTTGTGTGAATGCAGGCTTTCAGTAAACTGCCCGACACGCTGGACGAGTTGGACGCCATGTTGAATGAAGAGCGATCCAGAGCCGAGTGCTTTCTGGGAGTCAGTAAAAAGGTGAGGACACTTTGGCACTCACGGCCAGGAAATGGCCAATCCGACCTTAGCCTAGCTAGCAAGTTCAAGGGTGGAGAAACTCTGGAGTGGAGGTGGGATGATGTCAATGAAACCCAAGTGTGTTGGATTTTTTTTTTTTGGAGGGGGTGGTGACAAAATTGACAACTGTTCTCTTACTCACACATTTTGGTAAATAGTTATCTACCAAAACGTTTCACACTTGATGGATGGATGGGCAGACACCAGGACCAAAGGTTTGTCTTCGTCGGAAAATAGTTTGCGTTGATATTATCTCAACTGAGAGACAAGGTTTGTGTGTCGGGGAGTGGCTCAATAATCTGTGCGACATTTCTTTTGAAGGAACTTGATGTAAGGTGAGTTTGAAATTCTATTAAAAGTAATTTTAGGGTTTAAACTAATGATGGGAAAACGAAGCTTCATGAAGCACTTGTGATATTTCTTGACTCCTCTCGATGGTGCTCTTGGTTTGAATATAAAGGTTAGTGCAATGGACCTGTATTCAACTTCCATTGCATCTAGATGGCACCAAGAGTGCCATCTAGAGGAGTCAAAAACTATCACAAGTGCTTCATGAAGCTTCACTATTAATGGAAGCATATTTTATTGTTATTTTTTTTGTGGTGCTATTTGTAGCAGAGCTCGGTGTTATTGTACAAGAAAGGAAAAGAGTGTAAGGCCAATATTAGATTGAAAGTCAGAAGCGGCTTACACACCAGCATTTGTTGTGTCCCACCTTGTTTGCTGTCGTGTCCAAGGTTGTCGAGGAGTGCAGCAGGCGGGAGCAGGAAATCAAAGAGCTGGAACAAGAGCTGATGGAGAAGAATGTCGCCTTAACTGCTTTCAAACAGAGGATGTCACAGGTACACCACTCGTTACCTTCGCGCACGTGTCTTGTGGGTGAAATGCACTCTGACCTTCAGGGGTGAACTTCACTTGAAGAGTTCAGACGGAGAAAGCAGACGTCTCCGTTTTTGTGAATTGAGTAAAAGGAGTTTTTATTTTTTCTTGCTCCAGATTAAAGCGAAAACTTTTTATTTCCTTAGTTACCTCATTCAGTGCCAGCTGTATTTAGACCCTTTTTTTTTTTTTTACCTGTAATTGTTGGGGAAAAAAATCTGTCAGTGATCTTCTTTGTTGCAATCCTCAATATCCCGTGTGTGGGTGCGTGTGTGTGTGTTTTGCACAGGCAAAAGAAAAGTGGCTCAACCCTCTGAAACAGTTGGTGGAGCAAATTAACGAGAAGTTCAGTGATTTCTTCCATGCCATGAAGTGTGCCGGAGAAGTGGATTTGCACTTTGACAATGAGGTAACACATCTGCTCTTCACCTTGTAGTCTTGAACTCCATCGCTGTGCTTTTCAATGCGGTGAATGTTTCGATGGAAAAGTTTTTGCAGCGATTCGACGCTAACTAGAGATTCAGGTTTCCAAAATGGATTCAATTCGGTTCACAAGGGCTCGATTCGATTCGATCTACCACTCGTGCTTCACTTTTTTTTTTTTAAACTCCCAAAACTTCCAGCCACTTGCCCCCCAAGTTTGCTGCCGCTGTTTCCAGTGCTTCCACCATCTTGTTGTAATACGCTACTCTCGTGTAGTGATGAGGTCTCGCTTTTGAGAAGTGACGTGAATTGATGGGAAAAACACTTAAAGGATCGATTTATGGTTTCATGAATCGATATTGGGTTAGGAAAAGGAAATCACTTTTGATTCATCTTTTTTTTTTCCCCTTTAACTGAGCGCTACTCAACAAAAGCAGCTGATGGCGTATTTTTGCCAGCCAACGCCGCCAGCCCCAGCGAGCTTTCGCGTCACTATTGCGGACTCTGTGGCTCAATCCAATGCGGTTGGGGTCACACAAGGATTTGGATGGCAAATATTCAACAGGAGAAATGTCACACATTTTGCACCATCTAGTCACATGACTGTGTCGTGCTTTCGTCAAAATACGTCAAGTATTAAGGATTGTATTTCCAGCGAATATTTAGCCATAGAAAAATGAACTTATAGGGCTGCGTCTGTTACATGCAGTGAGTGCACCAGTCCTCATCGTGCCCCGCATACTCTTCGCAGCCACACTTGGTTAGATGGCCATTAAGTGGGCTGCATATTGTTTGGCCGTCTCTTCTTCTTTATCTGTTGTTGTTGTTGTTGTTTTTTTTTTAAATGCTAACTTTGATAGGAAGGTGATAGTTATCTTACTGGTTACGCCTACTCCACCTTTGCCAGCATTTCACATCCATGATGTATTCACACTCACCAAAGTCGGTCTCTTTGCGTGGTTTGATTGGTGCTGCCGGTCCGCCGCAGGAGGAATACGACAAGTACGGCATCGCCATTCGGGTCAAGTTCCATGAGAGCAGTCAGCTGCATGAGCTGACGCAATTCCATCAGAGCGGAGGAGAGCGCAGCGTCTCCACCATGTTGTACCTCATGGCCCTGCAGGAGCTCAACCGCTGTCCTTTCAGAGTGGTGGATGAGATCAACCAGGTAACAACCTACACAACACACACCCTGACGCTAACCCTTCGCTTGTTCGGGGTTCCCCAGATTATCTTTCCACAATTTCCTTGAAAACACATTTGACACACGATCCCCAATAACGTTGACCCGTTGGGACCTTCGGGTCAAATTGACCTCACGTCACGCCAAATCATACAAATAAGTTTGCAAAAATCTTGTCGTTTAGTGCCAAAACCTGTTGGAAAAAATATTGATAAAGGGCTTTGCGCACATCCTGAGGCAGTTTCAAAGCTGTGGGAATGATTTCAGTCTGATAAATCACCACTAGATGGCAGGAGTGGCTTTGATCAGATCTCGGTCCACACACACACACACACACACACACACACACACACACACACACACGCACACACACACGCACACTTTGCATGGACTTCCGCGTGCACGGCTCATGCTGGCGCTCGAATACATTTCCAATGTTTTAGCATTTTAAATGAGCAAGTGCACATCATTTTGGGCTGGTGTGATGTTGATGTGTGTGTGTGTGTGTGTGCTGATGGTATCCCATCGCCGCACCAGGTAAATGACCAAATTGAATTGGGAACTCAAGCAAGATGGTTTTTTATTTGATTTGATGATGATGATTATTATGATTATTTTTGATTTGGTAGGTACAAGGAATTCCGCCCGACAGTGACGATAAGTGATTTCCTGTAAATGTAGCTGTCGTCAGTATTTTGGTCTCCTGTCCAGGGCATGGATCCCATCAACGAGAGGAGAGCCTTTGACATTCTGGTCCGCACCGCCTGCAAAGAGAGAACGTCGCAGTACTTCTTCATCACACCCAAAGTGAGCGTTGGAGCCGCGGGTTCACGTTTGATTCGGCTTTTTCCCCGAAAAGTTGAGCTTTTGTCGTGTCGGCCCGCAGCTGCTGAAGAACCTCAGCTATGTCGATCAGATGACCATCCTTTGCATCCACAATGGCCCTCTCATGCTCGGCTCCAGCGAGTGGGACGACGGGGCGTTCCTTCAGCGCGGTCGGCGGAAGAAGAAAGCTCAGGCTTGATGATCGAGACCTCGCGTGCTCCGCCACTGCATTTCGATGACACTCCCCTTGTTCAATGTGGCCTGGAGGACGGCACCTCCGTTCATCAGGCAACGTTTGCGAGATTTCATTTCCGTTTGGTGTACGCGCTACAGGGGGCGCTAAAACCTAGTCGAGGGAGTGGAAAGTGGCCCGGGTTCTTGCCGCAACCTTGTGGCGGCCAAGCCATCGACTTGGACTGTTTAGTTTGAGCGAGCTGTTGGTTGTATTAATACTTTACGTACGACGACATTAACTGCAGCGGATAGCAACGTGCGCAGACACCTATATAAATGTCCTCCTAGCAGTAGCGCGCTAAAGGAAGCGGGCCAACACGCTACAAAGGGGAAAAAAGCTCAAGCTTAGACTCGCAAAAAAGTGCAAGACATTTTTGAGCATTTTGAGTGAAATCCCAGGAGAAATCTAAAATGCACAATCTTTACGGGTGAACTTCATTTGACCTCTTTTGAATGCACCACTGTTGAATGTTTCTCTTCTTTTCGCACAAATGACTGTTCTCTAACAAGGAGCAGTTTTCTTCCATTTTGATCTCTTTCCGTGACGCTTCAGTGTCAGGCTCTCTTTTGCCCGCTTCTGATGACCATGGTCCACTTTCCACACCATATCGTTTTTTTTGTTTGTTTTGTTTTTTGTTTACAAGCCCAAATAATTCTTCTTTTATTGCACATAATCATTCACTCGACTTCCCCCGCAAAAAAAAAAAAAAAACAAAAAAAAAACGTGGGGAAAACTACTGAAAATATGGAAAGGGGAATGTGCGGGTGCAGAACTGCGACGACGCAGGCGGGGCTCGACTGTGGTTTGAATCTGTAACATCAGCAACCACCACTAGATGACAGTCGTGTTTTAGTTGCGCTTCCTTCCACTGGGGCTCCTCGTGGCATTCGATCAAGCCTGAGGCGGACAAATGTCTATCGTCATCAAGATTAACATTCTGAGAGAGTTGCATTTGCTAAAAACATTTGACAAAGTGAGTTCTTGCCTTAAAGTGTCTTATCCAGCCGTTTTGTGTCTTCCTTGATTTTTTTATGCAAGACAGCCCTTTTGTACTGTTGTTGGGTTAGAAAAGTGGATTTAAAAAATGTTCTTACACATGCGTCGGACAAAATAGAACCAAAAAAATGAAACATGTTAAGGGAACGTATGCACGTGTTCCGTCCATATGTTAAATAGCTTTTTTTTGTCATCCCCGTTGTAGGTCTATTGTCAATAAAACCTGTTTTTTTTTTCCAATCAAGTCCATATCAAATTTTGTACTGAATCAGTGGGGTACGTTGACGTTTTACCCTCTTTTACATTCAGAGCTTGAGTCCTTTCGCCACTTTTGCAGTGAACGCTGACTCATCAACAGTGTTTGTCGAGAACAAGGGCCGCACCTGAGGATGGGGGGCGGGGGAGGTGGCCGCCTCCGTCGTCGTCGTCGTCGTCCTCCACCCTGCGCCTCCATCACACGGACCCTGACAGCAGGCGGCCATGCACCTCCAACGCCTTCTGCTGGGCTTCCTTTTTGCGCACGCCTCCGCAGATTTGCCCATGTGCAAAGAGGTAAGAGTTTGCTAGTGTTGGGGCGACTTCGATTTTTATTTGTATTTTTATTTTTTTTTCATTTGAAGTTGTGTTGTCCGTGTGTACCTAAACGTCTCATCGTGTTGGTTGGCTGGTTGGTTAGTTGTCAAGTCGTGCGTGAACTCGTAAAAAAAAAAAAAAGATCGAGATTTAAGCTCAGACTTATTTTATAGAGGCAAATGACCCGTTTTCTGTGCAAACTTTTTCGATACTTGTTTATGATTTGTTTCATATGGCAGTGGCCGGTGGAAAGATAGCTGCGCGTCTGTTAGTGCGCGTGGGAAGTGAACATATGCTTCCACAACCGACTCGCTTATCGTCTACGACAGGGGTCCCCAACCTTTTTTGCCCCACGGACCGGTTTAAGTCAGCCAATATTTTCAGGGACGGGCATTTAAGGTGTGGCGAATTAATACAACAAAATAATATCGTATGAGCTGCATGAAAACTGTGGTGTTTTCGAAATATAATAATAAACACAAGGAGCGTCTAATCTGGTCGCAACACTCTTATCGCTATGGTAATGTTTAATGCCTTCAAAATACGATTGACAAATTCAAAGTGCATGAAAATGACGACTCACCACAGCCCCGAGCTTGATTTTCTGCAATCAGACAGTCCCATCTCGGGATAATAGGAGACAATGACACCTCAAGTGTGTGGTTTATGTCCAGTCTACTTCGTAATTTTGTTTTAGTCGCCGTTGCTGCAGAAACTCCCCACCTCACACAGGTAGGATGTCAGAAATAGCAACAGTGCTAATGTGGCGATCTCAGAGTATTCAGCCATAACTTTGATCCAGTTGTTTCGAACGTACTTTTAAGGCCGCTGTCATTTGTGATCTCCAAGCAGCATTTTTACTCATTTTGCGGGCTTCAGTGTTTTGTTTTTGAGCCTCATTGGTCACGTGACCGAGAAGTGTGGCTTGACGTGAGTCAAGCGTGACACAGACGGATGTAAAAGAGAATCCGGTAATTTTTCAAAATAAAACATCTTTCGTGTTCTGAAATAAATAAAACAGAAATAAGGCAAGTTCTTTCTGTGCGGCCCGGTACCAAATGCCCGGCGGACCGGTACCGGTCCGCGGACCGGTGGTTGGGGACCCCTGGTCTACGAGGGTGCTTGTGCACCTCTACGGAAACGACGTACTTCACTCTTTTGTTTTTGGGGGGGGCTACACGTTCATGAGCTGTACACTAGCCGATCTATGTTGGAGAGAGATAAAATACGTATCAATGATAGGATGATGATTCAAATCTAATTATAGTTGAAAAGTACAGACTTTTAATTGTGGTGAAATAAGGGGTGTGTATGTGTGAGTTGATGTATGAGAATGAGTTAGTTGCAAAAATAAGATAAATGTATTTGAGCCTTCTACCCGAATTTTAGCCTTTTCTGTCAATTAAAAATACTATGAAAAGTGTATGAAGAAAAAGAGCAAGCTCATCAAATAGTTTATTTTTTGACTTTAAAAAAAGAAATGTGAGTTTGACCCACATCACGAAAGATGATTAACTGCTTCATGATCAAACGTGGCCTATTCATGTTTTAACATATTTACACAAAGGCCATGTGGGGTTTTGGAATTTGAAAACATGTTCATAGGCCAGGCCTATATTGAATTGATGGTTAAATCAAAGACGCAAAGTTAAAGTTAAGAGAACTAAAATCGCCGAGGTATCCACATTGAGCGGAAAAGACCAATTCCCCAAAAAGTGACGTACAGTACATGAGAAGTGGCATGACACGGAACTGCATTCAGCGCAATTGGTCGACAACATTTTTTCATTCTTTATAAAATGTCGTCCAAGGTGAAACATGCAACAACGCCACCGATGCTATAATTAGATGAAAAGGTTTTCTTAAGCTTGCCCTGCGATTGGCTGGCAAGCAGTTCAGGCTAACTGCCCGAAGACGGCTGACAAGACAATAGACCGGAAGAATACACTTGTGTGCAGAAAGATGGAAGCAATGTTGCCGTAACGGATTGAGAGAATTGCTTGTCTGACCAGACAATTTCCTCTGGCATGAACACACACGCGCACACACACAGATTTTCTAACATGTGTGTGGGAGACCTTGTTAACGGTCTAATGAAACACAGGTTGAAATTGTCATTCCGTGATTGGAAAATTTGACTTCAACGCAACACTGCCCATCACGAAAAGAACACCACACCTGCAGTGAAGCGTTTCGGTAGCAGCATCATACTATTGGGCTGTTTTTTTCTTGTCGCGGTGCGGTCAGTGTTAGCGCAAACCCATCGAGGTTTCTGCTAGAAAGTAAAAATGTCAGGAAAGCCTACTAGAACATCTTAGCATGATATGGGGTGAATCAGAGGCAACGGGTGTGTGCCAACTGCCATTTAACTTGAATTGACATGAAATTGGTGAATTCTCAACAGAGCCACATCTTTTTCTGTCCACCATATTTGTTTGTACTTAACACAATCATCAATTCAACTTTTTGCCGAAAGCTTTTTGGCTTCATTACCTCACCAAGTTTTTTTTTTTTTTTTTAAATGACTACACTGAATATTAACATAACAGCACGGTTTTGAACCTTCTTTATAGGATGCTGTTCAAAATCTGCTACGGTTTTTGTTTCGTTTTTTTTCCCTGTTATGCTGCTCCTGTAGCTTTTTGTTCAAGTGACCTTTTAAAGCGCCTGGCACGTGTCCCATCGGATGCATTTTAACATGAGAGCCGACGCGCTAGGCTCCTCGCCTTCCCTGGCAGCCACAGATGCGCGGGCTCACGGAAAACCCAAGGTCCCGCCCACCGCTGTTGATGCTGTGTTTCGGTTAACCATTAATCCCGCGAGGCTTAGTCGGTCTCATGAGCTTCGGCTCAGGATCCCGCCAGCCAGATAACGGTCTGCTCCTGCTCGAAATGACATTCATGCAGGTGCTCTTGTTGTTGTTTTTTCCAGTCACCTAGTAAGTACTATTAAGGCCCCACGGACAAATAAAAGAGCGAGCTCGGCCGGCCCCCGCTGCCACCGCCGATGTTGACAAAGGGGTTGGAGCGCTGAAGGAGAGGCGTTCGTTTGCACGCCGCCCTCAACAAGGAAGATTAAAATAACATTCGGAACGAGCTCCTTCGCAAATATTAGCCTAATCTCTTATTTGGAAAGAAGGCCGGTCCTCATCTTCAAAGTCAAAACCTGTTTCTTACCTCTGACTTGTACTGTAAAAAATGATTATGCTCACGTTGTCCAGTTTATGAGTCGCGTTTTATGAAATCTAGTTGCTTGAGGATGTGGATAAGTGGTGACGTTGTCAAAAGGGAGTCCTTTTCTACAAAGCCCATTCCAATCAAGTTGGGGCGTTGTGTTACGCAATTAAAAAAAAAAAAAAAACAATACAGAGATTTGCAAATCATGTTCAACCTTGATTGAATTGAATTGACCACAAAGACAACATATTTCATCTTACTCCTGATCAACTTTATTGTCGTCAGCAAATAATCATCCAGTTGGAATTTTAGGTGGCAAAAAAAGATTGAGGAATGCTCATCAAACACCTGTTGCGAACGTCCCACATGTGAGCAGGTGAACTGAGAACGGGCGGCCGCCATGATTGGCTCCAAAAGGAGCTTCCCTCAATTGCATTCGTTCATTCACAAGCAAAAGATAGGCCAAGGGTCACCGCCTCTTTGTCAACAACTGCATGAGAAAATAGACCCGTGAAATATCGGTTGAACGTGATTTGGGGAATCGTTGTATTCTGATTTTACTTACGGTCAACATAATGTCGCAACCTCATTGGAATTGGATTCGTAAGGTGCTTTCTCTTGTGTTCATTGCCATGTTGTTAGTGCAAGTGCAGAGCATCAACAGGGACATGTTTTAAACAATGAAAGCCACAAAAATTCACAGCTCGGGCTCACGCCCAAAATCCTGATTTGCCATCTGTGTTGACTTTTGAATGGAAACCAGTTATGGCTCAAAAAAAAAAAAAAGTTAAAAATCATAGTCTAACTTTTATCCTGTCTGGAGGAAATCAAGGCTTGGATGGCACTGAATATCTTGAATGTCAAGGAAAAGAAGACAGAAGTGATGGCGTTTGGTCCCAGTGACCCTCGTACATCCCATCCTGGGGACTTGGGCCCCCCTGGCTCCTTTTCCTAAGACAAACGTCTCAGACTTGGGTCTTAGACTGGAGACCCGTTGTCAAATCGGGCTTCTTTCATCTTGGGCAACTGGCTAAGGTCAAGCCTCTCCTTTCTCTGGTGAGCACTTTGAAACACAAATTCATGCCTCTGTCACACCCTGACTGGATTACTGTCAGCCATTTTACTTTGGAGTCGGCCTATCCTCCATGAAGCATCTCCAGTTGGTCCAAAATGCCGCCGCTCGCCTCTTGAGCGGTACTCGTAAGAGGGAGCACATCACTCCTACTCTGTCCTCCCTTCGCTGGCTTCCTTTTTTCGAGTTCTTTTGAAGATCCTTTGATTTCTTTTCCAATCTTGAAATTGGTCCCCGGTCCCACCTGACCTCTCTGAGCACCTCCGCA